ACGACGGGGGGGGAGCGTGCAGGGGGAGGGTGTGCTCTGCAGGGGGGTCCGCTCGGCAATGGGAGGGAGTGCAGGGGAGAGGGCAGGGGAGTGGGTCTGCTCTGCAGGGGGAGTCCGCTCGGCAGAGGGAGGGACTGCAGGGAAGAGGGGTGGTCCGCTCTGAAGGAGGGGGCTTGTGTGCAGGAGAGGAAGTCTGCTTGCAGGGGGGGGGGCATTCTCCCAGGGGAGGGGGGGACCGTCCGCTATGCAGGGGGGGGCTGCACCGGGGCGGGGGCCGGCTCTGCAGCGGGGGGGGGCTCCCTGCCGCTAGGGAGGGGGGGGGCGGTCCGCTCTGCAAGGGGGGGAGTTTGATCGACAGTTGGGAGGGTCCGCTCTGGGAGGAGGGGGGGCTACAGGAGGGCGGGTCTGCTCTGTAGAGGGGGGGGGGCAGGGGAGGAGGATGCTGATGCTGATGCTGCTGCTGATGAGGATGTGGAGGAGTAGGAGGAGGAGGATGCAGAGGAGGATGAGGAGGAGTTGGAGGAGGAGGCGTGGGGGGGGGGAGGAGGAGGAGGAGGAGGAGGAGGAGGAGGAGGAGGAGGAGGAGGAGGAGGAGGAGGAGGCGGAGATGGAGGAACAGGGGGTGTTCGAGGAAGGACAATGAAGCTCAGAAGAAGGACGCGGGCTGCGGAGGGTTAAAAGAGGGTTGGCGATGACTGACGAGTTGGGACGGATGGTGCTTAACAACGACGAGTTGATAATGGATGAGAAGTTGAGATGTGAAAGAGAGGGAAGCACGAGAGGACATTGAGCTTGACCATGCGGCCAAGTATGAGCACAAGGAATACGAGGATGGGGAAGCACCACATGAATATGGGTCTGTTGCCCTTTCTGCGTTGTGGTCTTGATGATGGTTAGTTGTACCTCTGGTAATGCAACTGTGAGGACGGGGGGTCGTCATTATGACGATGGCGATGCTGATCACGGTAACGATGCCGATTATATTGACGATGTTGATGATGTTGTTGACGACGGCGATGCCGATGGCGATTACGATGATGCTGATGGTGACGACGACGAAGATGATGATGGTGATGTTGATGGTGGTGATGATGATGCGGGACATGCGGATGATGATGCTAATGGTCACGGTCATGGTGGTGATGCTCCTGCTGAATTTTTATGGTCACGATGGTGTTGATCATGCCATGGTGATGGTAATCGTGACGATGGCGATGTTGTTGATGATGATTATGATGATGCCGATGATGATGCTGATGCTGCTTATGATGATTATGATGATGATGAAGAGGAGGATCAGTATGAGGATGAGGAGGTGGATGATGACCAGGGTGAGAACGAAGACGATGACGATGGTGATGCTGAACATGATCGCTAGAGCAGTGGTGTCGCTGATGATTGTGATGATAATGGTGATGCTGATGATGATTGTGATGATGATGGTGCCGATGGTGGCTGTGCTGAAATTGATCGTGGCGATGATGATGCTCACGACGTTGATGCTGCTGATGATCCGGCTGCTGCTGATGACGATGACGATGATGATGGGTGATGGTGATGATGCTGGTGCTGATGATGATGGTGATGCTGCTGATGATGATGATGATGATGAAGGAGACGATGATGGTGCTGATGATGCCGATGATGATGATGATGATGATGATGATGCTGATGATGATGATGATGATGATGATGATGATGCTGATGATGATGTTGACAAGGATGAGGATGATGATGATGATTATTTCGATGCTGATGATGCTGATGATGGTGATGATGGTGATGATGGTTATGATGGTGATGATGGTGTTGCTGTTGATGATGATGATGACGACATCTGAGTAGGAGAGGGATCATGTATGGGAGCTTGGAGGGAACAGGGCTGGGAGAAGCAGGGGGAGAAGCAGGGCTGGGAGAAGCAGTGAAGAGAAGATGGACAGAAAAGAGGGAAGCAGGGAAGAGGAAGGACAGTGGGCGTGGAAAGATGATAAGGACTAGGTCGAGGAGGCGCTTGCGAGGGAGAGGACGAGGACGAGTGAGTGAGCGAGTTCTTTACCAGGGCATTCCGGAGCAGACACCCCCCCCCCCGCTTGCTCCCGCTCCCCGTGAACCCCCTGGTCCGCCTCCCGCCTCCCGCCTCCTCGTCCTCCTCCCTGCCACCTCGTCCCCCCCCCCCTCCACCTCCTCCTCCTCCTCCTCCTGGTGATGCTGATGTTGCTGATGCTTGTTGTTGTTTTTCTTTTTTTTCTTGCTCGTCTGCTTCTTCTTCTTCTTCTGTAGACCCCTCCCCGTCCTCCCCCTCAGTCCCCTGCGGGGCTCCTGGTCCCTCTCCTGTCCGTCCTCTCCTGTCGCTCCTTCTTCGTCGCCTCTGTCCGGTCTCTCCTCCGTCTGCCCCTCGCCCTGCCCTCCCTCGTCGGCCTTCTCTTCTTTGTCATCTCCTTCCTCACTGCCGGTGCTCCTGCTGCTGCTGCTGCCGCTATTTCTCATCCATCTCCTCGTCCTGCTCCCGCCCATGCTCCTGCTTGTCATCCCCCTCCCACTGTCGTTCTCGGCGCAGTCCTCCTCCCCTCATCGCTCTGCTTGTTTCTTGTTTTCCAGCTCCCCTCCAATACTTCTCCACCTCCTCCTCCTCCTCCTGCTCCTGCGCCTCCTCGTCCTCCTCCTCCTCCTCCTCCTCCTCCTCCTCCTCCTCCTCCTCCCTCCTTGACCTCCTCCTCTCCCACGGTGCCCCGCCAGGTGGCGCAGTGCATCAAGATTTTGGAGACCCGCTCGCTGCGACGCGGGTGGTCCCTGTGGTCCCCGGGTCCCCTCCGTCGTGACCCTGGCGCGACACACCGATGCTGATGCCTCGTTCACGCGGCGATGCGGCTTCATGACTCTCCCCCCCACATCATCCCTCTCCTCATCCCCGACTACTCTCAAACCATAAACCCTCCTCCTCCTCCTCCTCCCTACTCCTCCCCTCCTCCTCCTCCTCCTCCTCCTCCCCCCCTTCCTCCGCTCGCCTCCTCCTCCTCCTCTCCTCCTCCTCCTCCTCCTCCTCCTCCTCCTCCTCCTCCTCTTTCCCTCCTCCTCCTCCTCCCTCCTCTCCCTCCTCCCTCCTCCTCCTCCCTCTCCTCCTCCTCCTCCTCCTCCTCCTCTTCCTCCTCCTCCTCCTCCTCCTCCATACCATACCTCCTCCCCTCATCTCATCCTCCTCACTCTTTCCCCCCTCCCCCTCCTCATCATCATCCTCCTCCTCCTCCTCCTCCTCTCCTCCTCTGTCTTTCTGGGCTGGCCTGCTCTCTTCCTCCCCTCCCAACCCCCCCTCTGGGCACCAGGCGCGGCTGTGCCCACGCCTTTGCCAGCTCGCCGTTTTTCGCCCTCGCGCCAAGCAGGTGAGGGCTGAGGGAGGGAGGGATAATTATAATCCTCGGCGGGCGAGGGGGGTATGAATGAGAAGGAGAAGGTCTTCTCAGAAGGTGGCGAAACTTCTTGGCAGGCCTCCGTCCTTCTGGGAGGCTTTCGGTGACTTCGGGGAAGGCTCAGAGAATTTCTCAGAAGGCTTGGGGACTTCCGAGCCTTCTGCGAAGGCCAGCCGCTTCTCACCTCCCCTCCCGGGCTGGCCGCCGAAGCAGGTGAGGGATGAGGGAGGGAGGGATGAGGGCAGGCGGCATGTACATCCATCCGCTTGTTTCTTCCTTCACAGCCGAAGCTCTGGCCCTCGAGGACGCAGCTGTTTCGATACCCCGGCGAATCCAGCATACCCTCACTGCGGAACACGGAAGCGTTCAGCGCAAGTTTTCATTATTTGCGCAGAGGCTTGTCCCGGTGTGGCCGGAGGGGTAGGATAGAGGGACTAAGCTTAAGTCGAGCATGTCCTCCTACAGGCGGATTCTGGAAGAACAATGTCACCAGAGAAACAACCCAATCAGTGGATGGCTTGAACATTAGTGATATGGATCTTATGATCAATTGTGAGATCGATCGTGTAATCGATAGTGAGGACGATTGTCTAGCTGTTCCTCAGACCGATTGTGATGCCGATCCAACGAGATCGATACTGAGAACGATCGTGAGATCCTCGCGCGATCTCTAGTGAGATCGATTTTGAGATGGGAGTTATTTGAACGGGCTTCCTGAGTAAATGCGAGAGGGTCTCCGCCATCGGTCAATTCGGGTGAGCCGCATCCGGACCAATGCCTCCTGTGCCCAAGTCGCTTGACGGATCTGGTCCGGGTCTGCGTCGTGCTCAGAGGACTGTCTCAAACAGGGCTAGCATCGGGATACATCGCTCCAGAGCGTTCCGGAGCGCTCTCAGAGCGTTCCAGAACGCTCTGGAGCGGCCGCGGCGCCCAATACATCCTCCAAGCCCGCCGATTCTCAGAGATTTCGAGTTACCCCGATCCGATTTTGTCCCGACCTTCGCGTCGTTTTCCCTCTTAGCTCCCTGGGGGGCTGCGAACTGCGCAGCTGACACCGCTTCCGTGGGCTCCTCTCGGGGTGCGACAGGGAGGAGTTATTTACAAGGAGAAGTAATGGAGGAGGAGGAGGATGAGGAGGAGCAGGAGGAGGAGGAGGAGGAGGAGGGAGGAGGAGGTTGTCCCGATCCGATTTTGTCCCGATCTTCGCGTCGTTTTACACTTCCCACGTCAGTTCGGATTTGCAGTCGTGCCCTCCGTGGCTGCCGCTCCACTGCCCGTGCGGGGTCCGCGGCTCGCTGCCTGCTCGCCTGGGGTGCCCGTCGAGTCAGCAGGTCTCTCTGCCAGGGGAGGCGATCGTCGGCGGTGCTTGGCTCGCTCGCGTCGGGCACCGGAGGGCGATATAAAACTGACGTGGAAAGTTGAAAACGACGCGAAGATCGGGACAAAATCGGACCGGGGTAACTCGACATCTCTGAGAATCGGCGGGTTTGGAGGATGTATTGGGCGCCGCGGCCGCTCCAGAGCGTTCCGGAACGCTCTGAGAGCGCTCCGGAACGCTCTGGAGCGATTTATCCCGATCCTAGCCCTGTTTGAGACAGTCCTCTGAGCACGACGCAGACCCGGACCAGATCCGTCAAGCGACTTGGTCCGGATGCGGCGGCCGCGGGCCCTGGGCGCTGGTGGGCACAGGGCGGTGCCCGGTGGCGCGCGATCGTCTGCAGGGCAGAGCTCCCAGGCGAGAGCGCGCGGTGGCGCCATGGCGGGCATGGCCGACTGGAGGCCGGCCGCTGTCGCAGTGGGCTTGCTGGTGCGGTACCTCGCGGACGACCTGCACCACGTGAGGCCGGTGTGCCATGCCGAGGGCCGCCTGCGCCACGCCGGGGCGTCGGCGGACCCCGGCCTCGGCCTCCACGAGGAGATCCACACGGGCCCAGGCGTGTAGGAGGAGGAGGAGGGGGAGGAGGAGGAGCAGGAGGAGGGGGAGGAGGAGGAGGAGGAGGAGGAGGAGGAGGAGGAGGAGGGAGGAGGAGGAGAAGGAGGAGGAGGAAGAGGAGGAGAAAGGAGAAGGAGAGGAGGAGGAGGAGGAGGAGGAGAGGAGGAGGAGGAGGCAAAAGGAGGAGGAGGAGGGGAGAGCGGGAGGAGAGGAGGGCGGGAGGAGGAGGAGGAGGTGGCCGACCCCGCGAGGGTTGTGGCGCCGCGGGAGGGCAGCCGCCCGGCTGGGGCGCTGGGCCTCTTCGGCGGGGTGCGCAGGACGGGTGGCGTCGCGCCGGTGCTCCTGCTGAGGGCACGCGGCGCGGGCCCCCTCTTACAGGCTCACTCATCTCCTACTCCTCATCCTCCTCCTCCTCCGCCTCCCATCCTCCCCCTTCTACGCCTCCCCTCCTCCTCATCTCCTCCCCTCCTCCTCCTCCTCCTCTCCTCCTCCTCCTCCCCTCCTCATCTCCTCCTCATCCTCCTCCTCCTCCTCCTCCTCCTCCTCCTCCTCCTCCCCCTCCTCCTCTTCCTGCCGCGCCGCGGTGCTGACGGCCCAGGCCAAGGGAGTGGCCTGCCCCGCTTTGGGCGGGCTCTGGCGGCCGCGGGGGCCGACAACGGCGCGTGCAGCTGGAGGCGCAGCTCTGCTTGCTGGGCGGGCGCTCTCGGCCGAGGGGCGCGCTCGCGACGCCTCCTCGGATAAGGGCGCGCTGCAGGTGAAGCTCGGGGTCGTGGTGACGCCCGGAAGTCTTTCGCAGGCCTAGAGATTTACACCAACACCAATATCGGCGGTGTGCATCCACCGAGGGAGGAAGATCCCGATCTCGGCGCTGGTGGTAATACTCTGGCTTCCAAGGTGGCCGAAATATTGCCACCACCACCACCGAAGTCGAGGATCCTCTTCCCCTGTGCGGGCAACCCCCTGTGTTGGTGTTGGGTGTTGGTGCCCATTTGTAGGCCTCCAAGTCTTGTCCTTTTGGTATCGCTGCGGGAGGACTGGTGGCCTCGTGGGCTTCGCACCTTTCTCCTCGTGCTGTCCCTTGGCGCCGGGGACGTCCAGAACCCAGGGCAGCGCCCCGCGACTCTCCTGGCCGACGAGCTGCGGCGGCCCACCGAGGCGGGGCTGGACGAGCACGCGGTGGTGATGAAGATGCCTCTCGCGCGAGCTGGGAGCGAAGGTCCACGCGCTCTCCAGCTCGCGGATACGGAACGCTGGTGGAGGCGCACGCTGCGCTGATCGGGCCCATGCACGAGGAGAAGTTCGGTCAGACACGGCCGCAGCCTGGGCCAAGGGACCTCATCGGCGGCCCTTTCGACGACGCTCACTCGTGCTTCGGCTGGCTTGCGGGATGCGGCTCTCTGCCTTTGTCGCCGGTGCTTGCGGCGGCCGCGAACTGGGAGCTCTTGAGCGGGTACCAGGCCTTGAAGGAAAAAACAACAAGCCCTTGAAGAGCGGAAGGCCCTCGAGGGCCCAAAGGACTCTTACCTTGGGCTCGGCAACGGGACTTGGCCACCCTGTCGCCGTATTTGGCCAGCCCCTCCGCTCTTCAACGTAGAGTGCGGCGGGATCCCGGGCGGGCCGTCGCGGGAGCTGCCCCCGTGCCCATTGCTTTTTCGCCCAGACATGGGCTTTGTCGGTGCTACAGGATGCCGTGCGGTCAGAAGAAGGGCGGCCGCCAGGCAACACTGGCAGTCTTGGCGCAGTCGGGGCGTTGCTGCACTCACCGAGCTTTTCGGTCACCCCGAACCAGCTGGCGGTGTCGATTCGACGCCTTTTTCGGCCGGGCAGCTGTCTTGCCTGGAGGAGCTGAAGGATGCCTGCCGGGCCGTCGGCCCGCCGCCCGCTGGGCTTGGTGATGCTGCGGGAGCCTTCCGGGAGCTCTGCGGCGCCCGCGCCGGCTACGTTTTTGAAGCCGATGGCGCGGGCATCCCATGTCCTTACCACGCGGGATCCGCCTCGCTGCCTCCGGTTTCTTCTAAGCCCGTGGAGCCCGCCAAGGTGCTCGAGAGCCGAAAGCTGTAGATCTAGACGAAGTGAAGATCTCGTCTCCTTGACGGTGAGGGCAGCGGAGCATCCCTTGGCGACGGTGCTGGCACTTCCTCCGTCTATTCTGACCCAGCGCTAGCGAGGCGCCCAGCTGTGAGCGGCGAGTTCTCGGGAGACCTGCACGCGAGAGGCGTCGTGAGTGTCTCGAGCGCAAAGCCTGCAACGGGGGGGGTGTTCTTCGTGAGAGCGCGTCTCTTCGAATGATCTATGACGCTCGTGTTGCCAGTGACTTCTTCCGCGCGCCTGCGAAGACCGCCCCCCGGACCGGCGGATCTTGGGGTCGCGTGGAGGTGGAGGGCGAAGAGCCTTCACAGGTGGCTTAATCTGATGCGCAGGCCGCCTTCTATCGCATTGCCCTTGGCCCTGGGATGAGTGAGTTTTTTGGTGTTGCCAGAGGCGCGTGCTTCTTTCTTCCCCGGGCGATCGCTCGAGGGGCGCGCCCGCCCTGGCCCCGCTCGCTCTCCTCGCCCCCTCGCCCTCCCTATGGGCTGGCCTGGGGCGGCGTTTCTTTATCGGGCTGCCGTCGCGGCCGGGATGGAGCGGATGGGTTTGCGCAGCGTTGATGAGGTCTCTGACAGGAGGGGCCTCGCATGTTTGTGATGGCGCCTCCGCGAAGCACGCCGCGTACGTTGATAAGTTTGACGCTGTCTCTCTCGATGCGTCGCAGGCCATTTCTCGCATTCAGGAGGCCCGAAGCGCCCTCGAAAACATGGGGCTTGGGTGTCATGGAGTTTCGAGCGGTAGTCAGACATCTGAGTTCACGGGGCTCTTGTCTGACGGTGACAGGCGTGTGATTCGGGCCAGTTCTATCAGATTGTGGAAGCTTCGTCTCGTCCAGGATTTTGCGCTGGGCATTAGACGGGCTAGCGGAAACGGGATCCGAAAGCTGATTGGGCACTTCGCTGGGGCCAGTCTCCGCCGACGGGAAGCGCTGTCTATCGTGGATGCTTGCTACCGTTTTGCCGATAGTCACGCAAAGGGGCCGTTCCCTTATGGCCTGCCGTGGCGAGAGAGCTTCGAAGGATGTGGGGCTTGCCCCCCTTTCCCTCGCGCAGCACTCGCACGCTTTGGGGGTGACCTTCTACGCGTGAGCGACGCGTCGACGGAGGGCTTTGGGGCGCGCTGCGCGCAGCGGGAGCGGGTCGACGCGGCTCTGGTCGGACGATGCGACGAGAAGTGGAGGTTTAGGGCATGGGGCGGCTAGCGCGCAAGAGTGCGCCCTTCGCCCCGATGTTCTCGCGCTCGGCATGGGTGATCTTCGCCGTCGCCCCGCCGTTCGTCGCGCTGCCGACGCTCGACCTTGGGCGGACCGACTGATCGACAAGGTTCCAGCATCGGCAGCGGCCGCTTCGGGCTGGGCGGTCTGCGCCTGCGGGAGGTGGCGCGAGGAGGGCGACGCTATGAGGATGGAGGGTCGGGCTCTCGTCATGGCTGTTTGTCACTTGCTTCGGGCTGGGGCGCGCCATCGGCGGCGCGCGCGTTCTTTCTCGTGGACAATCTGGCCCCAGCCTTGGCCGCGGTCAATGGGCGCGCGAGATCTCGTCATCTTTTGCCCGCCTGCAGGCAGCTCGCAGCGCTCAGTCTGATCTCAGGCGGCCGGTTTCATGCGCGGTGGGGGCCGGGTGAGCTGAACCTTGCCGATGCACCGTCGCGAGGGCGGCCATCACCTAGCCGCGTTGTCTTCGACGGACTCGCCAGCGCTTACCAGTAGTTGCGTGAGCAGAGGGGCGAACAGAGAGTCGCGCGCCAGCAGCTGCGCGACGAGATCGAGCTCGCAGCCTTGCGCTCTTGCGACCTCAGCCAGGTCGGCGACTCGGGCAGCGACTGCGAGTTCGCTGCTGGCTCAGCAGGCCCAGACGCTGTCAGCGCGGCCAGCGGCTGAGGTTTCGATGGCGCCGAGGAGGTTGCCGAGCCCCTCCCACCCCGGGGCCTGAGTGGGGTGGGAGATCCGGGGCTGCCTGCGAACGGCGAAGGTCAGCGGGCTCTTATTTGCGATCCAGCCCACGGACCGCCTGCGCCAGAGGGCCCGCCAGGCGTTGTGCTCGGGGGCAGCGGCGACGCCAGACATCCCGCGCCGCCGCCCGAGCTGCTACCCAAGGCTCGCAGGCGACGGAGCGCCCCCGGGCTTCACCCGCCGGTCGCCCGATCCGGACGCTGGCGGCGGGGTGCCCAGCGACGTCAGATCGGGTCGAGAGGTCCGAGGCGCGGCAAGGGTTCGACCGACCGTTGGCGGCGTGCGCCGCACAGCAGGGTTGCGCATCGCGACGCTCCCCGGCCCGCTCTTCGCGCCGCCCCTGCCGCTGCGAACCTGCTTGCAATGGGGGGGCGGCCCTCGATGCGACCTCGCAAAGACGGTCGCCCCCCCCGGACGAGGCCGCCGCTGCGCAGCAGGCGCGCGACTGCGTTATGCCGCCCTGGCGCCTAAGCAGCGCATGATGGCTGAGGTGGCGAGCGCCAGGCGGGAGAGCTGCGGCGGCGGCGCATTCCTGGAGCTGTTCGCGGGCGCCGAGCGGCGAGCGGGTCGCCAGCTGCTTGCGTTTTCTGGGCGGTGCCGTAGTCGCCTTGGAGATTGCAGACT